ATGTGTTTATCTTTGAGTGGGGTTCTTGCAAAATTTCTCTTGCTCCTGTTGATCAATTTGGAAAATTAGAAAAACCACAAGTTGGGAGTTCATATTTTCTAGCTATCTCCAGGAATAGCCACGAGTTTGAAGACATTATCAAAGAAGTTGGATTCACGTATCTAGTTGCACTTAAGGGGCTCATGGTGACAAATGTTGATATAAGTCATAGAAGTGCAGGAAATTTTGAGAAAGTTTGAAGATTTGGTTTCTGAAGATTTACCAGAACAACTTCCTCTTATGTGAGATATTCAACATCAGATTAATTTAATCCCTGGAGCAAGCTTTCTTAATCTACCCCATTATCGGATGAGTCCAAAAGAAAATGCAATCTTGAAGGAAAAGATTGAAGAGCTACTAAAAAAAAGATTTATTCATGAAAGTATGAGTCCATGTGCAGTCCCTATCTTGTTAGTGCCAAAAAAGGATAACATATGGTGTATGTGTGTTGATAGTAGAACCATTAATAAGATCACCATCAAGTATAGATTTCCAATTCCGCTATTGGAAGATATGCTAGATGTTCTTGAGGGTTCTAAGGTGTTTTCGAAAATTGATTTGCGCAGTGGCTATCATTAGATTCGAATTAAACCAGGAGACGAATGGAAGACATCATTTAAGAGCAAGGATGATCTGTATGAATAGCTGGTAATGCCATTCAGATTATCAAATGCACCAAGTACTGTCATGCGACTTATGAACCAAGTTTTGCGTCCTTTTATTGGGTCATTTGTTGTTATGTATTTTGATGATATCCTGATTTATAGTAAAACCAAAGAAGAGCATTTAGTGCACTTGAGACAAGTTTTGGATGTTCTGGAAGAGAATAAACTTTATATTAATTTGAAGAAGTGCACATTCCTTACAAATAAGTTGCTATTTTTGGGGTATATTGTTAGCGAAGATGGAATTCATGTGGATCAAGATAAGGTACATGCAATCAGATAATGGCAGACTCTAAAGATCGTAAATGAGTTGTGTAGTTTCCATGGCCTCGCTACTTTTTATAGACGTTTTGTACGAAACGTTAGTACCATTACAGCTCCTATTACTGAGTGTCTTAAGCAAGGGAAGTTTCAATGGGGTGAAACACAAGACAAAAGCTTTGCGTTGATTAAAGAAAAGCTTAGCATTGCACCGGGTTTAGCCCTTCCCAGTTTTGAGAAGATATTCGAGGTTGAATGTGATGCAAGTGGATTGGGCGTGGGAGCTATGTTGTCTCAAGAAAAAAGACCAATGGCATTCTTTAGTGAAAAGTTGAGTGAAGCTCATAAAAAATGGAGTACTTATGATCAGGAATTTTATGCGGTTGTGCATGCTTTGAAGCAATGAGAGCATTATCTAGTGCAACGAGAATTCGTTATTTATACTGATCATCAAGCTTTGAAGTTCATCAACAACCAGAAAAGTGTGAGTAAAACGCATGTAAGATGGGCCACTTTCCTTGAAAAAATTCCTTTTGTGATTAAGCATAAATCTAGATCTCTCAATCGTGTTGCCGATGCTTTGAGTCGGAGAGCAAACTTGTTGATTACTTTAGCACAGGAGATTGTGGGGTTTGAGTTTTTAAAGGAATTATATGAAGCTGATTTTGATTTCAAAGAAGTTTGGGTGAAGTGTGATCAGAATCAACCTGTTTCAGATTACCACATTAGAGATGGGTATTTGTTTAAAGGCAACATGTTGTGCATTCCTAGCTCATCCTTACGAAAGATGCTTATTTGAGATATTCATAGAGGAGGTTTGAGTGGACACTTAGGCATGGACAAAACCATTGCAGGAATTGAGGAATGTTATTTTTTGCCTCAGTTGAAGAAGGATGTTGGCAAAATTGTGAGAAAGTGTTATGTTTGTCAGGTGTCAAATGGTCAAGCACAAAATACTGGTCTTTATATGCCTTTACCGGTTCCTACCGATATTTGGCAAGATTTGTATATGGACTTTGTGCTAGGACTTCCTCGAACCCAAAGTGGGGTCGATTTTGTGCTTGTAGTGGTTGACAGGTTCTCTAAGATGGCACACTTTATAGCTTGTAGAAAAACTTATGACGCTACTCACATAGCCAAATTGTTTTTCAGGGAGGTTGTGCGTTTGCATGGTGTACCAAAACTATTACATCTGATCGTGACACCAATTTTTTGAATCACCTCTGGATTATGCTATGAAAGCTCTGTGGTACTACTTTGAAACGTAGTAGTACAGTGCACCCACAAATCGATAGCCAAACGGAGGTGACTAATAGAACGCTTGGCAACATGGTTCGAAGTGTTTGTGCTGATAAGTCAAAGAAGTGGGATAATGCCTTGCTTCAAGTGGAGTTTGCTTACAACAATGTTGCTCATAGTGCCACAGGAAAGTCCCTTTTCTCTTTGGTCTATACTTCAATTCCTAACCATGTTGTTGACTTGGTTAAACTTCCCAAAGCCCATGGAGTTAGCGTAGGCACTCAACATATGGCTAAAAACGTTATGGAGGTTAAAGAATAAGTGCGAGATAAGCTAGAAAAAACCAATGCTAGGTACAAAGCTGCTGCAAACAAGCATAGGCGTGCTAAAGTCTTCAATGAGGGAGATTATGTGATGGTGTATCTTAGAAATGAGCAATTTCCTGTTGGAACCTACAACAAGCTGAAGCCGCGCAAGTACGGACCGTATAAGATTTTGAAGAAGATCAATGACAATGCTTATGTTGTTGACTTGCCCGCATCTATGGGAATTTTGAGCACTTTTAATGTTGCAGATTTGTTTGAATACCGTGAAGATGAAGTGCTTTATCCTGAAGATAACTCGGGGGCGAGTTCTTCTGAAGTGACGGAGTCTGACGTAGAACGTTTAGCGGAGGAATTCGAAGCACAGCTTGATAGGCGTAGGGTGAAGACCAATAGGTCATGAGTTACACTATGATTTAAACAGCATTCAATATGTATAATTAATCTGATGTTACTAGTAGAATAAATAGGCAATGTAAGTGTTGCTCTAAGTTTCATCTTTTGTATTCCAAATTTATCAATATAGTCTTTGAGAATTCTCTCACTTTTCTAGTGGATTCCAGATGAATCATTAAGGGTGAACGTGAGGATCCTCTATTTATCTTCTTGCTGAGTCACCCACTCAAGGGAAAACCATGAACTGGGAAAGAGAAACCCTATCCAGGATTTTGGATGATATATATATGTATATATATATATATATATGAGTAAACTGTCGGTTTACCCCCTGAACTTTCACCTCACTTTCGATTTCCCCCTTGAACTTTTTCATTGGAAAATTAAGGACTCAAACTAATTTTTTTAGCCAATTTGCCCCCTACCGTTAGTTTTTCATATATTCCATCCATATTTCCGTTAAGTGAGACCATGTGCACAACATGTGAGGGTAGTTAAGTTATTTCACTCTTAAAAATGATTAAAAAACTGAAAATAATAAAAAAAGCAAAACTTTCCCTCTATTTTTTCCCGCTAATTCCTATCCTTGATTTTATTTTTCCCTCTCATTCCTATGCATGAGAAATGACATATGGTGTTATTGTCTACCATTTTTATTTTCTCTAACAAATTAATAATTTGACAAATGCTAATGGTGCTATTGTCTCCAAAGCAGTGCATTAATATAAGAAACCCTAGTCTTTTTTATGGACATGTTTCTTATATTAATGCACTGCTTTGGAGACAATAACACCATGAGCATTTGTCAAATTATTAATTTGTTAGAGAAAATAAAAATGGTAGTACATGCTTCAAAAAAAAGATTAACTTAGCTACTTATGAAGACAATAACACCATATGTTATTTCTCATGCATAGGAATGAGAGGGAAAATTAAAATTGAGGATAGGAATTAGCGGGAAAAAATAGAGGGAAAATTATTATTATTATTATTTATTTTCAGTTTTTAATCATTTTTAAATTGAAATGATTTAACTATCCTCACATGTTATGCACATGGTCTCACTTAACGGAAATATGGATGGAATATATGAAAAACTAACGGTAGGGGGCAAATTGGCTAAAAAAATTAGTTTGAGTCCTTAATTTTCCAATGAAAAAGTTCAAGGGGGAAATCGAAAGTGAGGTGAAAGTTCAGGGGGTAAACCGACAGTTTACCCATATATATATATATATATCTGCAACAGCAGATCACTTGGTGATCTAAACCCTTGTTTTTAGGACACCTGTCTCAATCTCATCAATTGTTGAGGTGCGTATGGAACGAAAGCACAAGGGCAAACCCATGGTATTGCGGCAGCTTTGTCCCAAACCAGTTGCAGTTTCCACTCCCAACTCAACAGAAAATGACTTTAATAAAAGTGGAATATAGTACCTAAATAAAAATAACGTGCAAAACTTTGAAAATAAGTCAGATTGTTTGATTCGTGGGTCACTTTAGTAACATCAATGGATAATATAAGCAGTGTGGATTTCAAAACTGGAGAGATATTTTAATAGAGTAATACCAAGAAAACTCTCTCAAAAGTAAAATTTTCAATAAATTTTCTGCCACCTTATTTTTAGTATAATTTATGTGTTAACTTTGTAAAAAATTGTGCAAAAAGATATGTGATGAAAGGTCCATGGAGAGTCTCATTTTTTAAGAGTCTCCTTTGCATTTCTTATTTTAATACAATCAAAATTTTTAATTACTGTACCGTCTAATAAACATTTATCATATGTTTTAAAAATTATATTATTTGTCAAATAAATAATTATAAAGAAATAAATTGATGACACCAGAAAATCCCTCTATATTTGATTTACATTGGTACCCTAAAGGCCTCAACCATCACTTGGTTTACCCAATATCCCAGACAAAACCATGGGCACTTGGAGGATAAAAAGCCTGAACTGACCAACCAACAACCAAAGGTGAAACTGAAAACAAGTGACTCGGACCCCAGAATTCAATGAAACCACTCACTCACTCACGACATCTGTGCTTCCTAAACCTTTATAAATATCTACCCAAATCCAACATTTCAATTCATCCAAAGAGTTTCAAAAACCTTCTTCGTTCACTTCTTCAAATACCTATTTTTTACAACTAGTTAATCTCCAACAATGTCAAAAAATATGGCTCAGTCTCCCTTTGAGAAGACCTCAATTGACCAACTGGCCATGGCTAAGCGCTATTCCCGTGGTATGCTCGAGCTTCTTTTCTCTGTGGCTCCGCTCTACTTGTATATTTGTCTTGCAACCGGTTATAAATTTCTTTTATTTTATTCCTCTCTCATCATATCATGTAACAAGCATTTTCCGAAAAAAGCTTTTTCCCTTCGACTAACTTCATTCATATAAGCATTATATTAATTAATTACTGGTTTTTTCTATTTATTAATTATTGGCTATATTTTATATTATGATGGCTTTTGAATTTGTCATGTGGTGATTCATGATGTTAAGCATCATGGGATTTCGGATTCCTATGAATTGCAGCATATAAAGCTCTTTACCATGACCCTCTCTAAAAAGCATATACATTTGCAGACTGCAATCTGCTAATAATGTGATTAAGATTTTGTATTGTTTCCATGTAAATGGCTTTTCTTCAGAAAATGGATAAAGTATAAGGTATCCTTTTTTTCAGTGGGGGACCGCACTCAGCCATATATCCCAATATTTTCATTTATATAAATTAATTTTCTTCTCTTTTCAAGTAATTCACTTTTACAATTTCTTCCGGAAGTGTAATTATTTTTCTTTTCTAATTGGATCATCAGAGGGTGTAAAAGCAGGAGCTAAGGCAGCTGTTGTTGCCACCATTGCCACTGCCATTCCAACTGTAAGTTTTCGATCTCATCATATTTCAGGCTCTATAAATTACTAGCTACTGTTTCAGGGTTTACATCTAATTTTATATATGCTTAATATATGCAGATGGCTAGTGTGAGGATGCTACCTTGGGCAAGAGCCAATCTCAATCCCACTGCTCAGGCCCTCATAATCTCCACAGGTTTTATTTAATCCTTGCCCTAATTATTTATATCACAATCTTCTTAAAACTTATTAATTACAGCATAATTATCATTATAATTGAGGGAAAATAATGTTAATTTGATGGCATGCAGTGGCTGGAATGGCATATTTCATCGTGGCTGACAAGACTATTTTGGCAACTGCAAGAAGGAACTCATTCAATCAAGTGGCTCACCATGGAGCAAGAATTAATCACTAATAACTAGCTAGGGTTTATGCTCTTGTTGCTGCATGGTGAACCCAATCATCTTTAAATATATAAATAAATAGAGATGTGTTTCAATCTAAAAGCACTAGAGCGTTTATGTACTAAATTTTCAGCACTAATTTATGAATGCAAATTTTATAAAGCTTTTGAGAGGGAGCTGTACGTAAGCCTCCAAGTCAACGTTGTATGTGCTTGAAGACGTCAATGGAGGCCTAATTGATGTGGAGATCAGTACATTTTGGCTGTACGAGCGCAAGCAGCTTCTATTCTTCTTCACTCGTGTGCAAGAAAGTGAGAGTATTAGCTATATGGTCCGGTTTAGAGCCTCTCAAAGGGTTGTATTGTTTATGTACGTGTTTGGATTGAAACTTGATTTTTGGCCCACGGATGGAGCCGGCCCAAAAGGAGGCCTGGAGGAATAGAAGATCAAGGCCCGGCCGAAACTTAGAGAAGCAGGAAAGGGCCTTTTCTGACTAGATACAATTCATAAGGGCCACTTGCCTACCTACCCAAGGACCAAGTGGTGTAGACTGATCAGACTGCACAGCCCATAAAGTACTTTATGGGGGCATTACATGTAATAAAACTGATGAGTCATTACCCTCAGACCGCATTCGGGCAAAGCTGTCGCTACAGGAGCCAAACCGAGTCGTCTATAAAAGGAGGAAGAGAAGACAGGAATAAGGACACTCAATCAAACAAACAAAAGCACAAACTCTGCTCAAAAAGCCAGATTTGCCTTTCAAAACGAAGCTGTAGTCAGCCCAAGCCTTCATCCCCCGCGGGATAATCCTTTCTCCCAACCTTTGTAATAGCTCTGCTACCTTGTTCGAACTTGTAGTATCGATTCACCTTTTGTATTCTCCTTTCCCCTCTCCCCCTCTAAGCTTTCAGACCTTTGACAGAACTACAAAGATAGGGACCTGCAAGACGATCGGCCTTAATTGATAAAGTTTAATCTTGCCCAACCTGCTTTGCTCTGTCTTTGTCTTCTCTTTCTTTAAAGTCTAGCAATATGTTGTATATTTCCAGTTATATGCAAGTTGTTTCTAGCAAAATCACGATGACAAAGCTTTCTCAGTACTTGGATCCGATTTGAATATATCTTCAGTGTTTAAATCAGATCCAAGTCCTAAGCCCTCAGGCATGTAAATCTGATTAGTTTAAAAGTCCTTGACCTCAAGGCATAAAAAAGAACTTTATGTGGACTTAACTCATCCACGACAATCCTTGATAAACGAGAAGTCCGAAGTTACTTGGGGCGCAAGTAATCGACCTACCTCTTGGTTTTATTTCTATTATATCATGATTATCATAGAACGCTTAAGTATGGAATGGATTCTGATAGGAAGCCTCAAGGCCTACACCTAAAGGCCCCACAAAGGCACTTATTTGGATTCATTCTATTCTGCGGTCTAGATGGTTTGAGTATAAGAAAGGACTCTAATGGGAAGCCTCAAGGCCTACACCTAAGACCCCACAAAGGCACCTATTTGGGTTCGCTCTACCTCTCAGACTTGGATAATCAGAAATATAATAGTTATAAGACTCCGACAACCATAAAGACCAAATATAATATGCTCAAGTACTGGTTTAGTTTGACAGGAAGCCTCAAGGCCTACACCTAAGGCCCCACAAAGGCATCTGTTATATCTAACACGGTTTCTCGGGCATATGCATATTCACAACTAAAACTTGACATCCATTCGACATCTGCCATGCTGAAGATGGCAGTGGCACGCCTGAGCACTAAAATGTTAACCTTGATTGTGAGCCTCAATGCCTACACCTAAGGCCCCACAAAGGCACCTCTAAAAGTTAACACTGTCCTTCTCTTTCAGCCTTGCCCGAAGAGTCTTGCCCGAAGAGTCTTTCCCAACGAGACTTGCCCGACAAAGCCCGACAGCAGCCCTCAACCGGCGCCGAACCTCCAGGGGAGCTGTGTGCTCGTCGGCCAGGAAACATCCCCGACGAGAATTCCTGCCACGAACAGTATGACTTTCTTCAGGTTTCACCATATGAGAAGTTATAATATATAAAGAATTTCATATCATGGTCATCGATCTGATTGCTTTTCGAGCTTCATAGTGTTTGTTCAAGTTCCATGCAAATCTTTGACACAACGATTTATATCTGCTCAGGCCTGATTAACTGGATGTATTTGAAAGCAAAGGGCCAGTTTGAAAACTTCAAGCTGATTTGTATACCAAGGAACAAATATATAGTAAACTAAATTCAAAATTGTCGTTGTAAACACGGAATTCCTGCAATGAATGAGACAAGAACACGTGTACAAAATAATATTTGTATTAATGATTTAGGGGTTACAATCTCTTCTACGAATTTGGCCTCTGATTCTATCTTTGAAACGTGTAGATGTAGTGTTGTTGATCCAGGGGCCGTCGAGGCTTGATCTTGGACGAACAGTTGATGAATGATGAACACCTTCTTCAAGGGCCGTCGGGGCTTGATCTTGAATGGGTGGAAGTTCTTCAAGGGGCGTTGGGGCTTGATCTTGAATGAGGATTTCACGAAGAACGAAGAGGGCTTTCTTGATCCTTCGGGATTTGCTTGAGAGCTTCTAAGTTTCGAGGCTTCAAGGCTTTGGTGTGGTGTGACTTCTCTTCCAATTTGGGAGTAGAGAAAGTGTATGTAAAAAATCCTCCTTTGATTCTTTGATGGAGGAGCCTATTTATAGGCTTTGGGAATGAACCACCACCATCCATTTGTTTTGGTGGATGTTGTAGGTGAATTGGTGGATTGTTGTAGGTGAATTTGGGTGGAGGTTGTAGGTGAATTTGGATGGATTGTTGTAGGTGAATTTGGGTGTATGTTGTAGGTGAATTTGGGTAGGTGAATTTGGGTGGAGGTTGTAGGTGAATTTGGATGGATTGTTGTAGGTGAATTTGGGTGTATGTTGTAGGTGAATTTGGGTGAAGGTTGTAGGTGAATTTGGATGGATTGTTGTAGGAATTTGGGTGTATGTTGTAGGTGAATTTGGGTGAAGGTTGTAGTTTTAATGCAATGGTCAACATTTATTTCACTAAAATTTCAATGTTTACAAATGTAATTTTAATGTGATGGCTAACATTTATTTCAACGAAATTTCAATGTCTACAAATGCCCCCACTTCAAGGCGCGTAGTATACATGTTCTTGTCACGTGTAGAAGATGCGTTTTGAAGTCCCTTAATGTAGATGTCGATCCAAGGGCCGTTGAGGCTTGATCTTGAACTGGTCTGGGAGTTTCTTCAAGTGCCATTAAAGCTTGTTCTTGAATTTTGTTTGAAATTTCTTCAAGGGCCGTTGAGGCTTGATCTTGGATGAAATTGGACCACAAGGAGCTTCACGTAGTAGACGATCCTTGGCTTTGATAATGGATGAATCGGCACGTATTTTGTTGTGCTTGTTGACTTTCCACATCTTTGATCTTGAACTAGGCTGGAGGAGTTTTCTGGTTTCCTCCAAAGGACTTTCCACAGACTTAATCTTGAACTGGATTTGACTCAAGGGTGGTGGACACTTGATCTTGAGTCAGGGTCGTTGAGGCTTGATTTCGAACTTAAACATGACCACGAGCAGTTTCAGGACATGCACGCTTTGAAAGATCAAGGAAGTTCGCAACATTTTCATATGAACCCTGAGCAGTTTGGTCAACAGTATGATCTTCAAGATTGATGGGCTCTTCTTCCAGTTGGTGACTTGATCTTTAAGGATTATCGAGGCTTTGCTCTTCGGTGACGGTGCCAGCGAAGGGTTGTTAAAGCTTCTCGAGCCTTTTGGTTAGAGCAACGCTGTCCAGCTTGGATCTTTACTTGAACTCCTCCGTCTGGATTGTGTGGTTATGCAGGGAAGGGCTTCATGCTTCATGATTTATTCCAGCTCGTTGTATTGCATTCTTCTCTGCTTGTTTCTTTTGCATAGCTGAAGCGGTGTGCAACCTTTTGCCTTTAAATGGTTCTTCGGAGCACAATCTCTCAGCGACTCACCCATGCTTGGCAGCTTCAGTGCAAAGCGCCGATGTTAACAGATCCACACTCCTGAAGCATTTGCTGAGGGAATTCGAGACATATCAGCAGTTGAAGATGAGCACTCGAGAGCAACGCTAGGTAAGTAACCAGGCAAAGGTTCCGGGCAATCAGTTCCTGGTCGGACATTTAATTTCAGGTTCCGACTGATTGCATCCTTTCTCCTTGTTCAGCAGGCAAGAGCAAGGGCAAATGAGAAGATGGGGGAAGAGCATGATATGAGATACCTTTGCTTTCGACCCCAGTGATATGAGATACTTTTGCTTTTGAAGAAGTAGCGGACGATCAGCACATGCATTCGTCGTGCTTGTCTCCATATGCTTCGATGCATCATCTTCATCTGCATCATCTTCACCTGCATCATCTGTTTTCCAGGCAGACGTGGTATACGAAGAGGAAGCAAAAGATGTTGAGGATGAGTACTTGAGAGCACGGCTAGGTGAGCAATCAGGCAAGGTTCCAAGCAGTCGGTTCCTTACCAGGAGCTTGAGTGGAGGTTCCGACATATTGCTTTCTTTATCCTTGTCTTTGCAGTGAAGAGGGAGGACAAAGAAAAGGATAGGGAGAAAGCATGCTATGAGATACTCTTGCTCTCAACCTCAATGATATGAGATACCTTTACTCTAGTGTGGCTTGGTTGAAGAGGCGTTTCTAGGGAGGAAGAAAACTGAGTTTTGGTTGCAGATGCCCTCGGCGAGGAAGAAAGGTCAGGCTGGATGTGTTTTCAGGGAGGAAGAAACTGAGTTTTGGTTGCAGATGTCTTCGGCAAGGAAGAAAGGGGTCAGGCTGGATGTGTGTCTTGCTATGGGATGGAGGTCGAATTATATGGTGAGCTCTCAACATCAAGTGGCAGGGTGAGCGTGGCCTTGTCACCCACGCTTGTCGGCAGAAGTGCGGTAGTTGGCATAATGGACCTCACGCGTTTTCAACTTTGTCAGTGATATCTGACAAAGTTGCACGTGATAGCCGAAAGCTGAGATTGTGTCTGAAAAGTGTCGACGGACTTTACGCAGGAAAATCCAGGTTTTGAAATTCGGAGAGTGGTGTCTCTTCGATTTACGAACGAATGGTTGTGCTGCCTCTCATTTTTAAGAGGTGTCAATTGTATTCAACACGCACAATTTGAAGATTGCCTGCCCGTGAAAAATTATCTCTGCTACTCTTTGCTTCATCCAACCTTTTTCTTTTAGTATTTTTTGAAAATGGCTTCCCCTTTTAACATTTGCTTAGATTTGAGTCTTAGCAGTGACACAGGTGCACCGCGTCAGGGTAATGTATGGCGCCCGTCTTTTTTTTCTTCTAATGGCCCTCTTACAGTTGAGGACTCTGTGATGAGGGATGCAACCACGGCTACGGTTGTAGCTAGAAACCTCATCACTCCTAAAGATAATAGGATACTTTCACGACGGTCCGATGAGTTAGCTGTTCAAGAGTCCCAGGCTCTCAGTGTCCAGTGTGCGAACTCTGTTTCCAACATGGGCCAACGCTTACTTGCTCGAACTCGCCAGGTTGAATCATTGACAGCCTAGGTGGCGGCTCTTAGTCAAGAGATTAGGCAGCTCAAGCGTGAGAATAGAGAGTTGCATGTGCTTGCAAATAGTTATTCGACGAGCATGAAGAGGAAGCTTGATCAGCTGACGGACTCCGAAGGTCGAATTCAAAGTGACCATCGGAAGTTTGTGGATGTATTCCGGAGGCACTTTTTGCCTTCGTCATCTGGAATTCGACCAAGTATTGAGGCTCCGAATAAGCTATCTTCAGTGCCTCCCTCCTTTAGGGTTCCACCGAGTACCAAGGCTCCAAGTACTGAGGCTTCACACAAGTGACATTCGTGAAGGCTTTTTTTTTTTTTTTTTTTTTTTTTTTTTTGGTGTAATTTCTCGGAGATATTAATGGACATGCCTTATTTTATTCAGTATGTTGTGTTGAAACGCAAACAAAACGCATATCTGACTAAGATGCATTACTTCCTTATGCACCAACTTCCTTTTAGATGGTGACTAGTGCACCCATTTCTTTTTAGATGGTGACTGGAAGCATCATTTTGTCATCACCACCCATTTCCTTTTCCATTATTGACTTGCGAATAGTAATACACACTCGTGAGTGGCTTGACGATAGCACAGTTGGTTTTTTTTTTTTTTTTTGGCATTCCTCACTGCATTGCGTTCTTCTCGCATGCGGACCATCTTTTCACTTGCACAATCACCTTATCACAATCTTCATTGGATGCGGATTGCTTTTTTACACAGTCACTGTATCGCATGCGGATCACTGTTTGCACAGTCACTGCACTACGTGCAAACCGGTTTTATTTGCAGCCTGTTGAGACCAATATATATATACACACGCATTCATACACACATGCATACATACATAGGGCATTGCGTAGTCTTTACATAGACACTGCACCAGCTTACTGCCCTGAATCTTAACTGCACTCTCCTGTTTCTTTGCTGCGACGTGCTCTTCTCGTCTGCCGTGTGGTGAGCTCGGTGTTGGACAAAAAGTGGTGCAGCTTCTTCAACCCCATCACCCTGCAGTTGGTCACGTCTATGTTCATCGTGTTCATCCGAAGTCTTCACTGCGGCAGAGGAAAGCTCACCATCATCAAAATTAGGGCAGCAACAACAAACTTCATTATCCTACAAGCTTCAGGGAGAGTTGCATGAGAGTATGAGGACGGAAGGATGAAGGACTGCAGCATAGTTGCTACAACCGCTCGGGCTTCCGTTTATCGTCCTCGATGGCGCTGCAAATGTTTCCACCAATGGAGAAGAGGAAGGAGGGCGCTGCCTTCACTCTGTGAGGTATGTTTTATTGCTGAGGACGGTTTGCCGCATATATAAATATATATATATATATATTTTTATTTTTTATATAGTGCTCTGTCAGGCTGAGGTTGCTAAACCGGCGAAGAACCTAGGAAGGCATCAAAAGTCTGCTCTGCTTGACTCGGTCAGAGAAAGTGAATGCGAGTGCAGGTTCGAATGACAAGGCCGAGTTGCTTTCCCCGTCTTCAACCGCTGC